ATACTCGCTTGCAGATCTGCTCTTAGCAGTGGCATATTTATAATTGCTGAGACTGCAGAGAAATTTTGTCAATGCCTCAGAACAGTCAGAAAGTATAGTGAAAACGCATAGTGTAATCAGAGAGGGGTGGAGCGATGATAAAACTTGAGGTACAAATGACAATCTCAATCCTCTCTCTCCCCCTCCCTCCCTCTCTCTTCCCCTCTCTCCCACTCTATCTCGCCCCCTCTCTCTCTCGCTCTCTCTCTCGCTCTCTCTCTCGCTCTCTCTCTCGCTCTCTCTCTCGCTCTCTCTCTCGCTCTCTCTCTCGCTCTCTCTCTCGCTCTCTCTCTCGCTCTCTCTCTCGCTCTCTCTCTCGCTCTCTCTCTCGCTCTCTCTCTCGCTCTCTCTCTCGCTCTCTCTCTCGCTCTCTCTCTCGCTCTCTCTCTCGCTCTCTCTCTCGCTCTCTCTCTCGCTCTCTCTCTCGCTCTCTCTCTCGCTCTCTCTCTCGCTCTCTCTCTCGCTCTCTCTCTCGCTCTCTCTCTCGCTCTCTCTCTCGCTCTCTCTCTCGCTCTCTCTCTCGCTCTCTCTCTCGCTCTCTCTCTCGCTCTCTCTCTCGCTCTCTCTCTCGCTCTCTCTCTCGCTCTCTCTCTCGCTCTCTCTCTCGCTCTCTCTCTCGCTCTCTCTCTCGCTCTCTCTCTCGCTCTCTCTCTCGCTCTCTCTCTCGCTCTCTCTCTCGCTCTCTCTCTCGCTCTCTCTCTCGCTCTCTCTCTCGCTCTCTCTCTCGCTCTCTCTCTCGCTCTCTCTCTCGCTCTCTCTCTCGCTCTCTCTCTCGCTCTCTCTCTCGCTCTCTCTCTCGCTCTCTCTCTCGCTCTCTCTCTCGCTCTCTCTCTCGCTCTCTCTCTCGCTCTCTCTCTCGCTCTCTCTCTCGCTCTCTCTCTCGCTCTCTCTCTCGCTCTCTCTCTCGCTCTCTCTCTCGCTCTCTCTCTCGCTCTCTCTCTCGCTCTCTCTCTCGCTCTCTCTCTCGCTCTCTCTCTCGCTCTCTCTCTCGCTCTCTCTCTCGCTCTCTCTCTCGCTCTCTCTCTCGCTCTCTCTCTCGCTCTCTCTCTCGCTCTCTCTCTCGCTCTCTCTCTCGCTCTCTCTCTCGCTCTCTCTCTCGCTCTCTCTCTCGCTCTCTCTCTCGCTCTCTCTCTCGCTCTCTCTCTCGCTCTCTCTCTCGCTCTCTCTCTCGCTCTCTCTCTCGCTCTCTCTCTCGCTCTCTCTCTCGCTCTCTCTCTCGCTCTCTCTCTCGCTCTCTCTCTCGCTCTCTCTCTCGCTCTCTCTCTCGCTCTCTCTCTCGCTCTCTCTCTCGCTCTCTCTCTCGCTCTCTCTCTCGCTCTCTCTCTCGCTCTCTCTCTCGCTCTCTCTCTCGCTCTCTCTCTCGCTCTCTCTCTCGCTCTCTCTCTCGCTCTCTCTCTCGCTCTCTCTCTCGCTCTCTCTCTCGCTCTCTCTCTCGCTCTCTCTCTCGCTCTCTCTCTCGCTCTCTCTCTCGCTCTCTCTCTCGCTCTCTCTCTCGCTCTCTCTCTCGCTCTCTCTCTCGCTCTCTCTCTCGCTCTCTCTCTCGCTCTCTCTCTCGCTCTCTCTCTCGCTCTCTCTCTCGCTCTCTCTCTCGCTCTCTCTCTCGCTCTCTCTCTCGCTCTCTCTCTCGCTCTCTCTCTCGCTCTCTCTCTCGCTCTCTCTCTCGCTCTCTCTCTCGCTCTCTCTCTCGCTCTCTCTCTCGCTCTCTCTCTCGCTCTCTCTCTCGCTCTCTCTCTCGCTCTCTCTCTCGCTCTCTCTCTCGCTCTCTCTCTCGCTCTCTCTCTCGCTCTCTCTCTCGCTCTCTCTCTCGCTCTCTCTCTCGCTCTCTCTCTCGCTCTCTCTCTCGCTCTCTCTCTCGCTCTCTCTCTCGCTCTCTCTCTCGCTCTCTCTCTCGCTCTCTCTCTCGCTCTCTCTCTCGCTCTCTCTCTCGCTCTCTCTCTCGCTCTCTCTCTCGCTCTCTCTCTCGCTCTCTCTCTCGCTCTCTCTCTCGCTCTCTCTCTCGCTCTCTCTCTCGCTCTCTCTCTCGCTCTCTCTCTCGCTCTCTCTCTCGCTCTCTCTCTCGCTCTCTCTCTCGCTCTCTCTCTCGCTCTCTCTCTCGCTCTCTCTCTCGCTCTCTCTCTCGCTCTCTCTCTCGCTCTCTCTCTCGCTCTCTCTCTCGCTCTCTCTCTCGCTCTCTCTCTCGCTCTCTCTCTCGCTCTCTCTCTCGCTCTCTCTCTCGCTCTCTCTCTCGCTCTCTCTCTCGCTCTCTCTCTCGCTCTCTCTCTCGCTCTCTCTCTCGCTCTCTCTCTCGCTCTCTCTCTCGCTCTCTCTCTCGCTCTCTCTCTCGCTCTCTCTCTCGCTCTCTCTCTCGCTCTCTCTCTCGCTCTCTCTCTCGCTCTCTCTCTCGCTCTCTCTCTCGCTCTCTCTCTCGCTCTCTCTCTCGCTCTCTCTCTCGCTCTCTCTCTCGCTCTCTCTCTCGCTCTCTCTCTCGCTCTCTCTCTCGCTCTCTCTCTCGCTCTCTCTCTCGCTCTCTCTCTCGCTCTCTCTCTCGCTCTCTCTCTCGCTCTCTCTCTCGCTCTCTCTCTCGCTCTCTCTCTCGCTCTCTCTCTCGCTCTCTCTCTCGCTCTCTCTCTCGCTCTCTCTCTCGCTCTCTCTCTCGCTCTCTCTCTCGCTCTCTCTCTCGCTCTCTCTCTCGCTCTCTCTCTCGCTCTCTCTCTCGCTCTCTCTCTCGCTCTCTCTCTCGCTCTCTCTCTCGCTCTCTCTCTCGCTCTCTCTCTCGCTCTCTCTCTCGCTCTCTCTCTCGCTCTCTCTCTCGCTCTCTCTCTCGCTCTCTCTCTCGCTCTCTCTCTCGCTCTCTCTCTCGCTCTCTCTCTCGCTCTCTCTCTCGCTCTCTCTCTCGCTCTCTCTCTCGCTCTCTCTCTCGCTCTCTCTCTCGCTCTCTCTCTCGCTCTCTCTCTCGCTCTCTCTCTCGCTCTCTCTCTCGCTCTCTCTCTCGCTCTCTCTCTCGCTCTCTCTCTCGCTCTCTCTCTCGCTCTCTCTCTCGCTCTCTCTCTCGCTCTCTCTCTCGCTCTCTCTCTCGCTCTCTCTCTCGCTCTCTCTCTCGCTCTCTCTCTCGCTCTCTCTCTCGCTCTCTCTCTCGCTCTCTCTCTCGCTCTCTCTCTCGCTCTCTCTCTCGCTCTCTCTCTCGCTCTCTCTCTCGCTCTCTCTCTCGCTCTCTCTCTCGCTCTCTCTCTCGCTCTCTCTCTCGCTCTCTCTCTCGCTCTCTCTCTCGCTCTCTCTCTCGCTCTCTCTCTCGCTCTCTCTCTCGCTCTCTCTCTCGCTCTCTCTCTCGCTCTCTCTCTCGCTCTCTCTCTCGCTCTCTCTCTCGCTCTCTCTCTCGCTCTCTCTCTCGCTCTCTCTCTCGCTCTCTCTCTCGCTCTCTCTCTCGCTCTCTCTCTCGCTCTCTCTCTCGCTCTCTCTCTCGCTCTCTCTCTCGCTCTCTCTCTCGCTCTCTCTCTCGCTCTCTCTCTCGCTCTCTCTCTCGCTCTCTCTCTCGCTCTCTCTCTCGCTCTCTCTCTCGCTCTCTCTCTCGCTCTCTCTCTCGCTCTCTCTCTCGCTCTCTCTCTCGCTCTCTCTCTCGCTCTCTCTCTCGCTCTCTCTCTCGCTCTCTCTCTCGCTCTCTCTCTCGCTCTCTCTCTCGCTCTCTCTCTCGCTCTCTCTCTCGCTCTCTCTCTCGCTCTCTCTCTCGCTCTCTCTCTCGCTCTCTCTCTCGCTCTCTCTCTCGCTCTCTCTCTCGCTCTCTCTCTCGCTCTCTCTCTCGCTCTCTCTCTCGCTCTCTCTCTCGCTCTCTCTCTCGCTCTCTCTCTCGCTCTCTCTCTCGCTCTCTCTCTCGCTCTCTCTCTCGCTCTCTCTCTCGCTCTCTCTCTCGCTCTCTCTCTCGCTCTCTCTCTCGCTCTCTCTCTCGCTCTCTCTCTCGCTCTCTCTCTCGCTCTCTCTCTCGCTCTCTCTCTCGCTCTCTCTCTCGCTCTCTCTCTCGCTCTCTCTCTCGCTCTCTCTCTCGCTCTCTCTCTCGCTCTCTCTCTCGCTCTCTCTCTCGCTCTCTCTCTCGCTCTCTCTCTCGCTCTCTCTCTCGCTCTCTCTCTCGCTCTCTCTCTCGCTCTCTCTCTCGCTCTCTCTCTCGCTCTCTCTCTCGCTCTCTCTCTCGCTCTCTCTCTCGCTCTCTCTCTCGCTCTCTCTCTCGCTCTCTCTCTCGCTCTCTCTCTCGCTCTCTCTCTCGCTCTCTCTCTCGCTCTCTCTCTCGCTCTCTCTCTCGCTCTCTCTCTCGCTCTCTCTCTCGCTCTCTCTCTCGCTCTCTCTCTCGCTCTCTCTCTCGCTCTCTCTCTCGCTCTCTCTCTCGCTCTCTCTCTCGCTCTCTCTCTCGCTCTCTCTCTCGCTCTCTCTCTCGCTCTCTCTCTCGCTCTCTCTCTCGCTCTCTCTCTCGCTCTCTCTCTCGCTCTCTCTCTCGCTCTCTCTCTCGCTCTCTCTCTCGCTCTCTCTCTCGCTCTCTCTCTCGCTCTCTCTCTCGCTCTCTCTCTCGCTCTCTCTCTCGCTCTCTCTCTCGCTCTCTCTCTCGCTCTCTCTCTCGCTCTCTCTCTCGCTCTCTCTCTCGCTCTCTCTCTCGCTCTCTCTCTCGCTCTCTCTCTCGCTCTCTCTCTCGCTCTCTCTCTCGCTCTCTCTCTCGCTCTCTCTCTCTCGCCCCTCTCCTCTCTCTCTCTCTCTCTCCCTCCACACCAATTTGGCTCTGTAACCAACAAAATATAATGTAGTTAGTGATAACACCAAAAGCCAATATTCTTACACAGTTTACCTTGAAGGACAGGCCAACATCATTTTAGATGTTGGAGGAGGGGATCTTGCTGCTGTTTTACGTTGGTCAGAATTTAGTTGTGTGTGTGTGAATTTTGGGACATCCATTGGGCAACATCGCTATATAGACTTACGATTTCCCATTAACATCTTTCATCTAGGCTCAGATGGAGGAATTCAGACAGCTAAAGGATGCCTTGAAGAGAATGCCAAGTTTCAAAGACACAGGTTCCAGCATTTATAATCAACATTCTCTGACCTCCTATACAAAGGTAAGTGATTACTTTTTACAATATTGGTGCTACGGCCATCCAGTACAAGGGTTGAGATGTTCCAGATCAAAAAAGGGATCTGCAAAGGCTATTATGTAGGAGAGATCTGTTGTGCTCAAGTATTCTATGGGAATAAACCTCTCCTACTCGCCCCTAACTAATTTTAATTTTTAACCACTTTGTTACTGCCGCAATTTTTTTATTTTGTAAAAATCTGTTTTTGTTTTTCCATTTGGGCTGAAAACCGTTTAAAACCCCCAAGCATATAATTTCTAACTGCAAAGGCATTGTAGAGGAAACAAAAATGCTACCGTGTTTCCCCGAAAATAAGACCCTGTCTTATTTTCGGGGTAGGTCCTATTTTTGTTTTTTTTTATTGTATAACAATCCAAAGTTAATGCAAATCCAAATTAAATAATCCAAAATGGAAAGGTAAGAATAAGGTGATCAGGGCAATCAGGGGTGCTGTACCTTTCCAATCGCTGGCCAGAATGGGCGAAGCGCACTTTCCCTATAGATTCCTCGCAGGTAGAGTGCATTTTGGTATCACTCCGCCTGTGACAGGAGCCGGCGCTATAGAGGAAGCATCGGCTTATGCGGCTCTGTCCCTCCGCTGCCGCCTTGCTTCCTCTAACGCTGCCTTCCTTGGCACCGCTGATTCTCTCCAGCGGCTCTTCAGGTTCCCCCTTATGCCACCACCGGCCCTGGGAATGGTCACAATTAGGTCTTATTTTCAGGGTAGGTCTTATATTTTAGCAATTCCCAAAAATGGTACTAGGTCTTATTTTCAGGGAAACAGGGTAGTTGCAATTTTTTATGCTGCATGATACTTGGACAAATGTTTTCTAAATCAATATTTTTAGGAAATAATATACTAAAATTTTAGTACACGCAACACAATGCCCAATTTGTTGGTAAACTATAACAGATGGGATTGCGTCACGTAAATACCAAACATGTTTAGCCTTAAAATTGAACACGTCCTTGAAATGGCAAATAAATTTGGTAACCAAAATTGTGCATAAGCAAAATTTTTTTTTTTTAAACGCTTTTGCCACTCATCAGTTTACAGTTGCAGTGAGTGATGGCCCAAGAATGATTTCTCTCACTCCAATGTTCATGACGATATGATGCAGTTCTTTTCGCACATGGGCGCACCTGATGTGTTTTACTTTTGTATGTGCATATGCATGGGAATGGAGGACTTCAAATTTAAAAAAACATTTTTTATATGTCACTTTCATTAATTTATTTATTATGCTTGTGCAGCCAGAAAAGTGACAGCCTGAAACCAGAAGTGACTAAATTCTCGTCGCTTTCCGGATTCAGTAAGAGGGGAGATCAGCCACTGGAAGTATCAATCACAAGGTCCTCGAGACCAATCGGCGAAGAGTCCCTGTAGGATATCCCCCAACTGACCTCGAGTCTGAGTGAATCTTCACACTTCAAAGGAAAACGCTGCTTTTGAACCAGTTTTATTATAATCTTACCTAACTCTCTAACTTTGCTCCCTCTGCCTTTTTTTGAAATATTCATATATTAGTTTGTATGTAACTTTGTGTGAATAAATACCACTTTCAGGTATGCAAGAGCCCAAAATGGGGGGCTTTAAAAAAACTATTGTGCTCTCACGATATTATTAAAAAATGTATTGTTCACAAAAATAGTTTAAAAAACAAATTACATTGTCATGATTGAGAAACTGGTCAATAAGCAAACATGATGTGATAGTAGTACAGTTCATAACAGTAGTCTTGATTATTCATAATGAATTAAGCAGAGGCCATATTTCCCTGGATACCCCAACATGTTTCGCCTTAAAGGCTTCCTCAGGGGGATACTGTTGGTAAAAAGAACTGATCGATATATATGGTAAATCAGTAATTACATTGATACATATCACATGATGGTTGTAAACATAGATAGCACATGAGTGACATACCATTAAAAAAGGAGAAATGCCCATACATGAGGCACATGAAAAAAATTTAAAATAATAAACACAAATTAATATCAACAATTAAGAAAATGATAACAAAAGGATGTAGAAATATAAAAATAAATAAATCAAAATTTTAAAATAAATGAAATAAAGTAAATAATGCACCTGCAGCCTGCTGATGACCACTCTACGAAAAGGCCAACCGCGTGGACCGAAGATAGACATAAATAAATAGACCAGATCTCTCAATTAACAAGACCCCTTATAGTCTTAACGCCTATCTCTAGGTTAAAAAAAGAAAAACTCCATTTGCAGTGGGGCTACCTCCACACTGCAAGGGTTGCTCATTTTTGGTTCATTTTTGTCTAGGGGTAGCTGTGTAAAATAATTTTTACTTGCCTGTTCCCCACTCCTGCAGGTTCCAAGGAACAATGACCAGTTGAAAGGGCAATGTGTTTTTTTTTTTTTCTTTTAATTTTAGCAACTGTCAAATGTGTACACACTTGTAAGAGATTATTTTTAAGAGCACAATTGGGAAAATAGAAATGAAAAAAGCATAAAAAAAAACAAGAATAAAAGTATTTGTGAAACTTTCTGAGTCTTCCTCTATGTTTACAATTAATATTTGTTGTTATCTCTTCATATTTCTGAAGAATGGCTTCAGGAACTGTCATAAGTATACACACTTGGCAGCAGTTAAAGGGTTTCTAAATCCTCAGTTTTTCGTTGCCTATATCTACTGCTATCGAGCAGTAGATATAGGCAAAACGTTTTTTTGGGGTTTTTTTTAAACGCTTTAACAGCGGTTTAAACTTACCTTGTTTTCGCTGCGCGCTCCCTTCCGAGAAAACGAAACTGCTCCGGCGACCGCAAAGCATCTTGGGGCGGGCGCATTCGCAGTTCGGATTCTCAGCCGGGAGACGAGGAGAGACGCAAGGTAAGTCCATGGACGCGTGCACCCGCATGCAGACACTGCTGGATCGGAAGTGCCTGCAAGCAGAGAGGAGTCAGCGCTGGATCGGAGAGCCGCCGCACCGCTGGAGGGACAGATGAAAACATCAGGAAAGAAGAGGAAGATCGAATTTCGAGACATCATTTAAGGGAAGTGCTAACATTAACATTGGGGGGAGGGGGGAAAAAAATATCCTTTAATGTCACTTTAGGAAACAAGTCATGCCATGCCATTGTATGTAAAGTAGTATTAAAACTCTCAAACCTTCTTCAATAATGAATTCAGATCAAACCAATATACATCACTCAGCAAATAATTTTTTTTATATTTCTGCCCAAGCACTTACAGCCATCATATTTCCAAACCGCTTCCCTGAACTTCCTGTCCAGTACAAGATCAAGGGATAGAGCAGTCTCCAGCAGCCGTCCATCTACTAGCTTGGAAAAGGAAGAAGTGAGGAAGTGGGGGGGGGGGGCACAGGGAGCAGGGAATCGGCTTGAATTGCTGTACCTGTGTGTTTGTGGAGCCACAACGTTTTAAAATAGCTTTAAAACATTTCGACTTTACTATCATTTTAAGAGACAGTGGGGCTATGTTTTACTTCCACAGAGAATAACGGTTGGAAGAAACCCATGTCATTTTGTTTTTGCCAGGGCACACGTTCGGAAATAGAAAAGAGAAAGCATACAAACCTGCAGGGAAATTTTATGTGCGAGACTGTGCCTGTGCTCAAAGGTAGAATTACACATTAATGCGGAGTCTTCCTCTGGTTTTACTTGTTTCTCCTGACGGATTGTATTATGTGCTGTGGGGTGTTAATATTTAATGAATTCATCTGCAGTGTGGTTGGCTTGGCTCTGGGCTGAAAATCTAGGTCTTATTTGTAATGCAGAGATAAGGTGAGCCAGGCTAGAGGCACAGTGGCAGTTGTGTAGACCAGATGTGATCGACACAAGAAAAAAACCCCGGCTGTGGTCTCATTACAATATTCTGCTCTCTGACTCATTGTCTTCTTCTTCAGAATCTGAACAAACCTTTTTCTCAGGGGCCTCAGAGCTCCACTGGAAATCAAAAGAGGGAAGAAAACATCCCTGGAAGGGTAGCCCAACATGTGAAGGAGGCTTCCCAGGCTCGGCCCGCGTCGCAGAGCAACCCCCTGCTTCCCTCTGTACATGTGGCAGCCCAGGGACTGGGGGTGCACAATGATAGCTATGTTGGGAAATTTACCAGGACAGTTAACAGCCTGCAAGTCCACAAGGAGGTAATTTTGGATCAATAGAGATGTGTTTCAATTTACATCCATGCAGATATTTCTTACTTCAAAACAAATGGCAAGTGCTTGGTGGCACCTTTTTTAAAGATATATTCTGCCACACGTTTAGAAGTGCACAGTCTTTGTGTGTTGAAGCATTAAAGAGACACCTGCATGAGCAAGGTAACTGTGTTTTCTAGAACGAGCTCCCGACCCCCTTTTACTAACCTTATCTGCACTTCCTTGCTGCTCCTGCTCTTAGATTGGCTCTGTCAGCGGCCCCAGGGAGTGGTGACGTTGATGGGCTGTGTCACTAGCCCCGGGTAGTGGTGTCGTCACTCCCCTGGTCATGTGATGATGCTTAGGCTTAGCAGTTGACTGCTAGGTCTAGGCACTGTCCCAGGGTAGCAGGCCACATGCTCCTATATGCCCCAAAAATTCTGGTAATCTTATTGGCTGCAGCAGAGCAAGGAAGTGCTGATGGGGTGAGTATACTATCTGGCGGTCAGATGGTCAAGGTGACAAGGTCTCTTTATTCCCTGCAAACACGTGAACTTAATGATTTGAAGGGATGCCAACCTACTTTGGGTTGGTGCCTCTGTCTTTGTCTCTCGGTCCTGGTGAACCCTGTTCCCATTCTTGTGTCCCAGAGATAAAGAAATGAGGAGAAATCTTTCCATTGGGATCACAGATTCATCTAGAAACCTAACTTTCAACATCTATCCCGCACCATCGCCCAGAATTAGTGTAGTAGGGTGCATGGCAAAAGTTCTAACAACAAGATAAAAAAAGATTTATTTGCCTGGAGTTTAGCTTAAAAGTAAATCTGTGCTTTTGACTTGCATGGCATAGCAGTAGGGTCACAGGGTTAACCATGGCCCCACTGGCAGCCTACACTTGATTTTCCCTTCACGTGCCTGCTGCTTTGTTTGGCCACTGGTACCAAATTAGAAACTACTCTTTCCCCACTCCATGTGACAGCTTTGGGTGCCTAAATGGCCAAATGCCAGGCATCAGTGTTGCTGTCACCCAGGGTGGAAGAGTATTCATAACATGATGCCCCTTCTTCAATACCTCGTACCTTCCTTTTTTCCTTCACCTCTTTTCCGTTTTCCTAGCTTCCTCTTCCTTTTTTTTCTTTCTCGTTTTTCCCTTTTTTTTTTTCCCCTCCCTTTACCTTTCTTCGCGTTTTTCCTCTTCCTTCTTTTTTTTTCGTTTTTGTCTTTCTTTTCCTTGGTGCGAGGGCAAAGAAAAGGTAAACCTAAACTGCTGTTGGAGCCATAATCAAAGTGGACCTGTGGCTTTGCCTTGCATGGTCAATGCACAAGTTCATTTTAGATCATTCCATCCACTGACAAAAACCAGGCGTATCTAAATGTGACTTATGAGCTGATGAAGGATGGGGACATAACTCATAGATTATTAACTGCAGTAAAGAAATCCTAGTTGTATTTCAGCTTTAGTACTAACGTCCTGCTGCTTTTACATTTTGCAGGATAAGAAGCTAGCTGTGTTGCCACATATCCCGCAGCCACCCCAGCAACCGGCTGTCCACAAAGGCGCCCTGCCTGACCCACCAGGAGCTGCGGATAAAAAAACACCCGCCGCGAATGTTCTACTTGCCAAAGAACAAGTGCCGGTTCACAGGTGTGTGGCTAAGAGCTGTTTTTTTCCCTCTCTCTCTGCCTAATCCTTTATCCTTATTGCTGTGACTCAAGTTTGCATGCTGATTAATCCCTTTCTAGTCTGCTCTATCACATACTGAATTGATTTGTGGCTTTACAAGCTCTGAAACACCCAGCAGCAAACATGCTGCTTTTAATAGGTTTTGTTTCCTGGAAAATGTGTATAGGAAGATGGTGAATAAACTGTAACTATTGTTCTGATGGTCACCCTGGGCTTCATATTGCCATTGCTGTTGTGGTCATAGTAAAAGAAGAAAAGCCCACAAACCTATTTTTTTTTAAATGCATTTTGCTTATCCAAAGTTTTCAGTGAGGATTGAGCTGTAAATCAGGGTCTGTGGCAGGGCCGCACTGCTCATTAGGGATGAGCTAAGGTTCGGACCGAACCTGAGCTCCTCCGCACCCAGAAGGAGCCCCTCCCAAACATGGAAGGACATTTCTTCCATGCCACCCAATCAGCTGTTGGTAGGGAATTCCCCACCAGTAGCTTCACGTAAGCAAAGGGGTAGGATACAGTGATGTCAATTACCTTATATGGCTACATGCTTGTTTTTTGGTAAATTACATTGACATTTACCTTATGTAGCTATGACGTCAGCAAAAGCATCCCGCCCATTTGTTTACATGCAGCTGTGGGGTACTGCAGCCTATTGGGTGGGAGTGTGGGACTGTTCGAAGGTGCTAAGTTTCGGACCAGCTTAGATCCGAACCAGAGTTCATGCCTACTGCTTATAGTCTCATTTTAGCTGGTGGTGTTTAGTGGCTCAAGGCTTTTAGGTATTAGTGAAAAAAATAATGGGATTTACAGGGCACTATTAGTCATTGGAGTTGTGAATAGGCATGATCCTGCTGGTCAAATCAGTTGCAGCCGGTGCCATCCCTGCCCCACTGTTGTATGTTGACCTTTACCATTGACTTTATATGACCACATGGCCATTTTTTGGTCAATAGTCCTTATTGTATTACCCCAACCCCCAGTCCTACACTTATCCAATGCCAAATGGTGGCTTTCCACCTGAGGGAAGAGCAGAACACACATCTGCTTAGCTGTATGGCCTCTCAGCAGGGCCACAATGGAAAGATTGCTTAAACTCTGACGAAAGTAAATTGAGTTAATATGACTGAAAAGGAAGTGGACAATACTGTCACTGACGTTTTGTCACATAGACTTGAAATGGGACATGCCCATACTGTAGGAGCAAGGTAATCATAGACCTAAATGGGACATGCCAATACTGGGACATTCCCATACTGTTGGAGAAATTTTACCATAGACTTAAATGTTACATTGCTCCTACTGTGTGGGCATGTCCCATTTAAGTATATGGGATGTTAGTGTGTGGGCAGCCCAGCACTGGATTTTTATTGGGCGGGATGTCATGCAGGAGGCTACCACCTTCAGAGAAGGGAAGTTAGTTCCTGAGGTGGGATGGTTCTGCTCAGGGTAGTTTGGTGGAGTGGCTTATACAGTTGGCATTATTTTAAAAAGAAATGCTTAAAGTGGAACTACAACCTCCTATCCTTTACAGCCCAGGAAGGTGCCATCTATGGAGCGAATATTCCCCCCAGGTCTCGACAATCTCCTGCGCCAGCAGCCCTGCCGCCTCAGCTGTCGCACACCACACGCGTCCAGCGGCTCCAACTTCTGTTTCTGACCGGCTTCTCACCTTCCTATGTCATGCCACATGACAGGGAAAGGGAGGAGTCTCAGTATGCAGAAGTTAGACGCAGGCAACACGGGCAGCAGCATTGTAGAGGTGCGTCTTATGGTCAGGTGCATCTTATGGAGCGAAAAGTACAGTATGTTTGTAGTCTGGGTGACAACCATAGCTTCCTTTGTAAATCTAGTGGAAGAGTGAGCATAGCCACCGAGAAACAGGTAGTGTGTTATTGCAGGATTGCCAGGTGAAAATATAGGACAAAAGCCTGAAAACAGGAAAACTAATGCAGCCAACACATCTAAGGACTTATAAGCAGCAATAAGTAAAAAAAAAATTGTTTTTGGGTTTTAAAAGAGTTTTAAGTCACATCATCACAGCAACTGCGATGACCTTTTCCATGGCTGCAATGAAGTTATTCTTGTACGGGAGTCTATGGGGAGCGCAGTGTTCTCCTCCTGGAACCCATTTAGGCTTTGCTTAGCCCAGCAATAAGGTGGTTAGTGAGGCATCTCTCCACTAAAGATGATTTCTGGCTTTCTCTGTGGTTTGCCAACGTGCCTCTTAAAGATCTGATGAAACTTGCATTGAAGTCTTGCTGATGAAGAGTATTGTTACCCTTTGTTTTAAGCCTCCAAGCGGTTCGTTGAATGAATTATTTGCAGGGAAGAAATATATAGGCAAGTTCTTACAGGCTGCAGCTGATAGATCCGTACAGAATTATTCCAGCACTTTCCTCTGCTGCATGCTGGTGAATCTGTGCCAGGAACCGTAATGAAAGTTCTCTTTTTCTTTTTTTTTTTCCTTCCCTTGTTATTGTTGACGCAGCAGGAGAGTCAACAAAAGCCTTCATTAAGCCCATTTAATTGAAGAGCTTAGGACTGAAGAGCACTATATTTTCTTCTCCCTCTTAATTAATCAGCATTGGAGGCGTTTTACTCTGGGGTAGCTGTAAAGGCTTTAAAGGAAACCAGTCATGAGAGAAATGCAGGGACGGCCATTTCTGATCTCTAAGATGCGATTTCCCCTGTTCGCTCTGCTAGCTTTATTGTGTTGCGTTACCTGACCTGGAACAGTAGCAATGTATTGAAGCAAGAGGGACAGCCAGGCAAGAAGCAATTTTTTCAGGAGGCTGGCAACCTACACTTACCTTATGTTGTCCATGTTGTCAGCTGTATACAGTTTTATAGTTATCAATTCACGAGTTCCCTAATAGAAAAGCAATCAGAACCACATCTGTCATTGGAGTAGTTTCTAATAACTACTCCAGGAGTAGTTATTAGAAAGAACTTTTCCACTGTCTAGTCACAGGATAGGGGAAGGGAGGTTACCAAGCTCCATTTCTTTGAAGTTTGTGACCTGACCTTTTTATACCACTACTCTCTTCTGTCTGGCAGGGTTTTATAAATCTCAGGACTGAATCAACAGGAATACAAATCCTTTGGCAGACAACTCCTGCGTATGTATTTTAGCCATATATTTAGCTTTATTACAGCTTAAAGAGTAACACCACTTTTGTTGAGGGAAAAAAATCAATCCTCTCTGGCCATTCTGTGTACATTACAAGGATTTTAACACACTTTGTTGCAGTTTCCTTCCCTGTCTGTCTCTGTTGTGAAGAAATCGCTGTTTGTTGCAGCATGTGCTTTCCAGACTGATTCCTGAATGGGAGGGTCTGGGTTCATTATAATCAGCTGGTGGACTTTGTATTGTAATGAGGAAAGGTTCAGTGTCTGCATCCTTTTTAAGTAGTAATTAGCCCTTAGAGAGTATTTCATTAAAAATGAAATTCCTATTGCAAGAGATGCCAAAAGTTATACTTGCATCGTAGTGCAGACTCCTGAGAAAATCAGTCGGCCAATCACAGAAGCAGGAAGCGACATTTCTGGGGTGTTCCGTACACCAACTGTGTATGGAACGCCTCCAGGTCGCCATATTGCATTGCTTTTTTTGGACAGATTTAGAGCAGTACAGCGGCTACCATTTTTAAGTGGTAAGGCAATTTTTAATTACATTAAATTACAAAATGACTTTATGCTATATTCATTGTTTTAAGAATTTTACATATTAAAAGTTTCCCTTTTTTAAATGAATCATGTTTAAATAATTGGTTGTGGCAGAAACATCCGTAAGTCAGTTGGCACAAATGAAACTTTATTGTGTTTTAAATAATAAATGGCTTTCTCAAGAAACATGTCAGTCTATTGTTTTGCAGAGAAAAACCCCACAATAATGTTCTATAGAAAGGTGTAGGAAGGGTGTTATGGGGAAACAGGTGAAAGTTTCAATTTTCAGGCCAATGTCACACTTGTGATCTTCTTCCTGGTGTCAACTCCAACAGGATAGCTATGCAGGACAGGGGGAGGTAAAAAAAACAATACTCTATGGTTTGTACAGGTCCCTCCCTCTCTGGATAAGTGAGGTACCACTATCCCAGTCTCAATGGTGAGTGACATTGTGTAACATTTCCGTTGGTGATGGAGTGGTGGCTCACTGATCTGACCAGTGATGGAGCCTAATGCAACTTTTTTTTTTTTTCTTTACTGCAACAGCTGGCAAGACATCGTTAGCAAGGTGAATGCAAGGATGACTAAACAAGTGGAAAGCAACAAAATCAATGCCAGTGACGGTCTTGTGAAAGCCCAAACTCACCGTGCCAATGTAGCTGCTGGGAAATCGGATAATAGGGCAGTGCATCATGGCTACTTGAGACGAATCGGCGAAAGTGAGGCAGAGTTGGGTAGGTTTTGTAGAGCTATTAAAGAGGATCGCTCATTTGTCTAAAAGCATTTTATGCCTCAAAAGTGTTAAAATATTTGACTTTTTTAATATTCCTAAATATACTTATTTTGTGGCTATTCCATCTTTACTCACAGCCATTGGCTGGACTTATGGATTAAAGCATATCTAAACTCAGAAACACAAATGTAATACATTGCAGCTTACCAATCTCTAAATTTGGTGGTGACACTGGTTTTTCTTGTCTTTTTTTCCAATTTTTTTCACATTATTTTTGAACTTCCTTTAACAGACAAAGCCGTCCAACAAAAGTGGCAGATAAAGGGTGTGTGTGTGTACAGTGTATGTATAGATGGAGATATATATATA